AGAGTTTTTGGACATTGCCAAAATCCATTTCCCCAATATGAAGTTCTAGTTTGTGCAGAGAAGTAACCCCTCATCCAGACTGAATTCTGAAACAATTTATTTTTCTATATAAGTGCTTACTACGTATATGCTGTTGCTCCCTCCTTCCTATGCACACCAACAATGTGGCGTTGCTTCATTGTTACCTCCAATTAGTTTCCTCACTACTTCTGCAACAGGATCCTTGACTACAGTTTCCAAAAAAGCAGCTATGTTAATTTCTTGCAGCAAAAAAGTTTTTATTTCAATATCAGCTTTTGTGGATATAAATCCACTTGTTCAGATCCTCTGCATTGAAGCCACCCAGTCCCTGCCTTTGGGTGAGAAGTACTAGTTGATAACAACTGATCACATCTTTCTACAGGGTTTGCAAGAGGTGGCGTCGCCTGGTGCGGGACAAGTTTCTGTGGAGGCATTTGGATCTAACTTCTTACAAGGTAACAATGGTCAAACTCCAGCGCATTAGTAGATATTTGTGAGCAAGGATCAGGAATTGCTGGGGTACTTTCTTGGCCACTGGGGTCCCTCAGAACTCTATGTCGCCCCCCAACATATACATGAAACTGCTGGAAGAGATCATCCAGAGTTTTGGAGTGTGGTGCCATCTTTAATTTATTATATTTTAACTATAGTTTAACTTTATATCTACAAAGTGCTATTTAATTTTTATTTTTTTTATTTTTTTACTTGCTTTGTTTTAAACTTTGATCAGATTGTGTAGCTGTTAGACAACTTGAGTCTCCATAGGGAAAAAGCTGGGGTAGAAATAAAGTTAATACATAAAAAAATAGCTTTGCACTGTGGTGCAGTTACCTTTTCAGCCTCCAAAAGCCATTGCCAACACACTTTCAGGAAGGGCTAAAACCATATGTTTCTGCATTCATGTCATTTCCGACCTACATCAATTATTTAATGGAGTTTTCTTGGCAAAGTCTGCTCATGGGGGGAGGTTGCCCTTGACTTCCTCTCAGGCCAGGTATGACTTGCTCAAGATCCCCCAGTGGGTTTTCATGGCTGAGCAGGGATTTCTCTGTTATTATTTTGGTAAAGACTAAGAGTCTGAAGAATTTTGCAGCCAGTATAACAGCATACCTCCCATGCAGTACGATTTCAGATGCGTTCTGAATTTGGGAGTTATAAACTCTAACAGTTTCATTGTTAGCTGCAGAGCTGGGTGCATGTTGCTCTTTGCCTTCATGTTTCCTTGTTTTGGGTCACAAAGCATGCCACAGCCATCTTTAATTGGCTATGAACCTTCCCTATTAGTTACATCCTCAGGGTTCAGAGCAGATTATAATCTTGTACAGATTAGAAGGATTCTGTTAAGGTGTTTTCACCTCACTGCTCTTGAACCATGGCAGCAGTGGGAGCAGAGCTGAGTCCATCCAGTCCAGCCCTGCTTACCTTTTCAGTTGTTTGTCACCATGGCAATGGAAACAGAATTCTGGATTGCATCAGGACCAATACGAGGCCCCTTTTTCTGACATCAGCAAGTCTTTCACATGACTTGGGGAAAAGATTGGGTGATTCTCCTCTTCCCTTTAGCACCTGGCTATTGCTGGGTGCCTTTGCTAATGTAAACAAAGGCCCCAGCTATATAGCTAAGAGTTCTCAGGAGTACTCTCCAGAGCAGCAACAAACAAACAAAGGGTAAGTGCCATCCTGTTTTCTTAATGGAGCACATGGAAAACTACTACTACTAGTAGTAGTAGTACTACTACTACTACTACTAATAATAATAATAATACTTTATTTATATTCCGCCCTTTCTCCCCGAGGGAACCAGGGCGAATGGCGATCTATCCTGTATAAACAACTGAATCAATTTGAATTGGAACCAGCCAAGCTAGTCATACTAAGC